AAAGAAACAGGTGAAATTAATGTTAATATTTTATTTTAATCAATACATCAAAAATATCATTTCACATCTAATTAATATAAAAATAATTAATGAGGTATTTCACACTCTGTTTTTCATATTAAGTTTTCAAAACCTAGTGTGTATTTTATCTCTATTCCAACTAGCCACATCTCTAATGCTCAATAGCCATATGTAGCTAGTGGCTACTGTCTTGGACAGTACAAATTTAGAATTGCCAATAATTGTCTAACACTCAATGGCAAATACAAGATATAGTCTGGTTTAATGTAAAGGAGGTTTTCTAGAAGGCCTTCAAGCCAGGACCTGTGAGGTTGGAAGGTCAAGAAAACCTTACCTCTTTGAGTCTTTCTCAGCCTTCATCATTGCTAGAAACACAAAGACCCATGGCCATCTGGCAATTCTTGGAACACACTCAACAGTGTTCTGTGTTCTCTGTTCTGCAGGGGAAGCCCTGACTCCCTCAGGTCTCTCAGATTCAGCATTTGGTGGCTTGTTAACCTAGCTGGGAACAGCACTGTGCCAAGGAGGGCAAGGAAAAGGGTTCTATCCTGGTACAGACAAGTTAGCTCTAGTCTCTCCATAGCAAGAACAACGTCCTTTACCCCAGCCAGTCAGTTGTCTTGCTGGTGCAAATGCCTGGTTACAGGAGGAAGAAGGCAGGAGACAGAGGTGGAGAGGTGCAAATCTATTCCCAAGTCTGGGGTGGAGTGTGGGGATGTAAGTATAGTCACAGCCTGGCTGCCTTACCCACATTATTCCCTCCGTCTGGGGCACCCCTCCCCCAGGCATCTGCCTGGCCCTCTCCTTCACCTTGTTCTGGTCTCTGCACAATGACTTCTCCCCAGGGAGCCTTTCTCCAACCAGTATTTCTAAATTAGCCACCTCCACCACTCCATCTCCATCACTCTCTCCTCTTACCCTGCTTTATTTTTAATCAGCACTTGCCACCACCTGACATTAGCAATTTAGTTGTTCATTGTCTGCCTTCCCCATTAGAGTGTCAATTCCATGAGGGCAAGAACTTCAGCTGGTTCACCACTGTACTCCTAGAGCCTGGCTTAGTGTCGGCCTCTGATAGGGGCTCAGTAAATATCTGTTGACTGAATGAAAGGAAAACTCATTATAACTCAGAGGGAGACACAATGCAGCGAGGGAACCATATCTCACAGTTTCATTTTTTTCTCAAAATTTCTGCAACTTTATTGAATCTGGATCCATTCACTTTGACGTTTATGTGCACCACAAGATGAAATAAATGAGAAATAACAGGTACTTTCCAAGTATCCTGCAAACGATGTAACCTCTGCTTCTTCCATTCCTAATAATCCAGAACGGTTTAATCTTCTTAAACAGAGTTTCTGGAAGTCCTCCCCCACCCCATGTCTCATCATTAGAGACCAACTAGTTGTTCCTTGTGAATGAATTGGTTTTCTGAATTCTATAACCATTAGGTTAAAAAAGGATGAGAGGAAGGAACTGAGGTGAGTTAGTGGCACAGACACAGACAACCCAGCTGAGGATGCTAAAGAGCCTCAGAATGTTCCCCGGCATTCTCCACCATAATATCAAAGGGATTTCTTTAGCCTCTAGGAAAGAAGAGCTCAGAGCTTTATATTCCTAGAACATTCTCATTCTCCCTTATATTCCTAGAACATTCTCATTCTCCCTGCAACTTGGGAAAAGGACAGAGACCATGCTTCATATTTACAAAGGAAGAAACCAAGAACACAAATAAGCAAAAGAGATTTTCCTTACCCCTGAATCCCACCCCAAAGGCAGTGAGATAGTATTAGCCAGGTCACAGAACACACGGATCAACTTGACTATTCACAGCTACATTCACCTATTTCCCAGCTACAGTCCAGTAAATGGTATTTCCTAAGCATGAGTGGTTCCTCAGAATTAAGAAACGAAGGACTTGTTAGACCAACTGAAAAAAAGGACTCGAAATCCCCAATCTCACCACATCCAAACCTTAACTCCAGAGTCTCCATTCTATGCCACAGGAACATTTACTCTTCCCTTGGTGCAGGGTACACACCTAAGTGCATCTAAGAGTCCTGAGACATCCCATCCACGTTGTCAGGCTGGCCCAAAGCAACTTTGCGAAGTGGCCTAGAGCCATCTCATCCTTGTTAATTGATAACTTACCTGGCATTTCTTCTCCAAAGAATGTGTTGATAAAGGATTCTTGAAGATGTTGAAGAATTTTCAAACTTAAGGAACAAAAATCACTGAGAATAAAGTTGGGGGAGACATTTCTTTGCATTGGACCCTACCCACATCACATTCTATAGGTCACTCACTGATCTGTCAATGTAGTTAATCCTACTGAAGCAGTTCAGGAACCCAGTACAATATGTCAGTGGATCCTCTTCAACCTCTATCTCAAGCGAATACATGGTGGTGTTACATACTGCCACCATCCATCTGTCAATTTATCATACTGTGGTGGCTTGTGTGTTGCTATGATGCTGGAAGCTTTGCCACCGATATTTCAAATACCAGCAGAGTCACTCATGATGAACAGGTTTCAGTGGAGCCGCCAGACAAAGACAGCCTAGGAAGAAAGACCTGGTGATCTACTTCCAAAAATTAGCCAGTGAAAACCCTATGGATCACAACAGAATATTGTCCAACATAGTGCTAGAGGATGAACCCTCCAGGTAGGAAGACACACAGAATACACAGTGGTCACAACAATGGACTCAAGCACTCCAACAGTGATGATGGCACGGGATGGGGCAACATTTCATTCTGTTGTACATGGAGCTGACGCAATGGCAGCTAAAACAACAACTGTATACTGGGTACTGGGGGGAGCCTGGAAATTTCACTCAAATTGAATCTAAATAAAGCCAGGCACTGGATGGGAAAGAGCTGTATATATGGAATCATACTATAATCTGGTTTTCCTTCCAGGTTTATCATCCCCATCAGTAGTCTCCTTCACGTGTACAGGAAATGCACAGGGCTTGGGAGTCAGAAAACGTGGGTGTGATTCCTGGTACTGCTTTACTGTAACAGCAAATCTTGAGCAAGTGTTCTAAGACTCAGCTTCCTTATATGTAAATGGAGATCATAATAATTATATTTCCTCAAATAATTGTAGTGGTTGTGAAGGAGCCTCCACGGGCTTGGTGGGCAGAAGCTCAGTGAATTGCTGGTTTGTCTGAATGTCCATGTACCTTGGTACTATCTGGGTCAGACTGCACCTCTTGGGATCAGGGCTTGGGCAGGGCACTCACCCTGTGACTCTCCAACACAGATAAGCAGGTGCTTAATAAGCACACTTTGATGACAGTGAAAACCAAAGTTTGTGGAGAAAAAACTGAGGAGAGTTGAGCCAGAGCTATAAAAAGTCTGATAATACCAAGTGTTGGTGAGGATGTGGAGTGTGGGGACCCCTCATCCACTGCTTCAACCACTGCTGATTGGAGTGCACACTACTTTGGAGAGCAATCTCGCAATATCCCAAAAAGATGAAGATGCATACCTGATGCCCACTTCCTAGGTGTATCGTCTAGAGACGTGCTTACACGTGTCACAGGAGATGTGTACAAAAATATTCATAGTGGCATTATTTGTAAGAACAAAAAATGAAAAATAACCTAAATGTCCTAAATGTGAAGTATTCACACAGTGGAATACTATACAGCTGTTAAAGTGAATTAACTAGAGCTATGCACACTTCATGGATGAATCTCACTAATATTGATGAAAAAAGAGCACGTAACGTATACAGTGAGTTCAGGCAAAACTAAATAATATATTGCTGAGGATACATAAACACATATACGCATAAAGAGAGGTGTGGGACTGATGGAGTCCCTGGGTGATGCAAACAGTTTAGCACCCAACCACTAACCGAAAGGTTGGTGGTTTGAATCCATCCAGAAGTGCCTCGAAAGAAAGAGCTGGTGATCTGCTTCAGAAAGGTCACAGCCTTGAAAACCCGCTGGAGTGTATTTCTTCTCTGAAACACATGGAGTTCTCATGAGTCAGAACTGACTCGACGGCAACTGGTTTTATGGGAATGATAAACACCAAATTTAGGAGGGGGCATCATCTGGAGAGAGAGGTACACAGGGAGCTTCAACTATATTGATAACAGTTTATTTCTTAAACTGGGTAGTGAGTAAAGAGTATTAGTTATATTATTCTTTATAGTTCTCTGCATGTTTGAAACACAGCAATTTTTTTTTTTAAAGAACTAGGATTTGAGGAGTCTTACATAAAAGAGGCCGAGAAGTCGGGTCCCTATGTGTGGGGAGGTTCAGAACTGCTGCTGTCAGCCTCTGGAACCCAGAACTCTGACATCTGCCACGGTGGTCAAGGAGAGATCCAGAAAAGTAAAGCCTCTGCTATCAGGGAGAGGAGAGGAGGAAAGGGCACTTTGATGCTGCCCTGCTCTGTTCTGAGCCCCGGGGCTGTGTAGAACCACAGATGGAGAAAACAGCTGGGCGAGCAACCCAGGAGATTGAGAGGAATGCAGAGCAGAGGCAGGTATGCACGCACATGGACGCGCACGCCTGCATCCTGCATGCACACAAAGCACGCAGGCGGCTGCCCCCACAAGCTGACACAGACGCTTCCATTCAAACAACCTGGCACGGGCCCTGAGTTGATGGCACTGTTACACACACACGCACATACACACACACCACTTCCTGCCCACGCTGACGCCAGAACTGGAGGCATTGCAGCGCCTGCCACTCGTCCTCTCTCCCAGTGCTGGGTTTTTCCAGCCAGAGCCTCACTCCCTCTACTGAAATCTCTGGAAATTGGTGTCTGACGTGGCTGCTCGTGCACATTATTTATTTATTTCTTCCTTTCCTCCCGCCTAGACCCTCCTGTCTGACAGAGAGAGGCAGTCTGGGAACAGAGACAGGCAGCAAGCTGCAGGGACACACGGACACAGAGAGGACAAACGGGAGGACCACTCAGAAGCCCCCACCCCGTTCTTCCCCAAAGGGGCCATGAGCACCAGGCAGGAGGCCAGGAGAGATGAGAGAGACACTGGTGGGAGGGGACAGGAGGCAGAGCTTCTGGACCGAGCCTACCTGAGCCAGCAGCGCCGGCTCAAACAGGCCACCCAGTTCCTGCACAAGGATTCCGCTGACCTGCTCCCCCTGGACAGCCTCAAGAGGCTCGGCACCTCCAAGGACTTGGTGAGGCAGCCCCCTCCCCTCCCTGCCCCAAGAAAAGTCCCCTGGCCCTTTCTCTCCACTTCCCAGATCCTGAGGAGGGGGTAGGAGGACCATAAATTGCAGGCTCTGAGCCTCCAGAGTCCCCCTCCCTTGCTGAGTATAGGGAAGTGACAGTCCCTCCAACTTGTGGGGCTCACTTTCACCATTCTCAGGTTCTTCATTGGGGGTGCTGCCATGGCTTGATGGCTCTGAGGACCCTATTCTCATCACTCAACTTCCCACTTTTTCCCCTAACAGTCCAAAGCTTATCTTTAGCAATGGTGAGGTGCTTTGGCCAGAGGAATGCAGGAATCCTCTGAGGTAGTCATTTAAGGCTAGGCGGGCCTGGAGGATGGGTCAGTTTAGGGTGGTGGTTTCCCTCCTCTCCCCAAACTACAGATTTCCTCATACCAGATCTGTCCATTCATTTCCCTTTTCCCCTCAAAGAATTAGACCATTAAAAGCCTCCATTCCTGCCGGAGCATCAGGGTTTCATGTCTCTTAGCCTGGGCCAGCTGGTCTCCCCTCGAGGGCCCCACTCCCTCTCACATAGGTAGATGGCTCCTCCCCAGGCTCCTTTCCTTCCATCCCCCTGCAGCAGCTTTGGCCTTCAGAGGGCATGGGGGATGGGGGTAACACTGAGGAAGATAAGTGGACCAAGGAACATGTGCACATATAGCCATTCCCCTCTGAGAGGTAGTGGTTAAGAGGATGGGCTTTGGAGCCACATTGCTTGGGTTCAAATCCCGCCTCTGCCACTTACTAACTTGAGTGAGTTACTTTGTCTCTGTTCCTTAGTTTCTTCGTCTGTTAAATGGGGATTAAGTTAACAGTATCCACCTCATAGGTTTGTTGTAAGAGCTATATGAGCAAATCCATATAAAGCACTTAAAACCGTGCCTGGCTAATGGAAAGCACTATATATGTGCGGACTACTATTATTCCTCCAGCTACTATTCTGTTCAGCCTGAGACAAGGTAAGCTATGCAGAGTCCAGAGAATACGGAAGCAGATCTGGTCTCTGACCCAAAGAAAGGAAGGCCTTCCAAGAAAGCTTGAGAGCACTCTGTTTTCTCTCCCATCTCTAGTCAGGGCCCAGGAAGGGGGCGCTCAGCAGAGACATCTCCAGAGGCCTGAGGCCACTATGGCTGCCACTTCTCTCTGGGAATCTGAAGGCAAACTCAACCCATCACTGCTTTTCCTGGCCTAGCCCTACCTTTCCATACTCCTCCCAGCCACGTGCCCCCCTCCAGGAACCCAGCCCAGAGTCCAGGCCGCCTCTTAGCCCCATCCCAGCATCCCCCAAAGAGAAGAGTGGTCTGACTGGGATCTCAATTCTGAGAATTCCCAGGGGCACATTCCCCCCTGCAAACATGGCAAGTATGGCTGAAAAACAGGCATGGAATAGGGAAGCAGGTTCTTTGGCTCCTGCAGCTAGGACCCTGTAGCCTCTGTCCTTTGGGGATCATGCTACATCTTTTTATTTGGCTCCAGATAAGAAGCTCTATTAGCATTGCCATCTGAGAGTGGCAAAGAAGGAGACAGGTCCAGCTTTCTGATGAGAAAGTTCTGGGCTTGCCACCTCTCCGCTCTGCCTCAGGACCTCCCAAATTGACCCCTAACAAGTTACCTCCTGTGGCTTTGAAGCAAAGACACAACAGACTGGACCCCATTAGTCTCCCTCCCTGGGACTGCTCTGGAGCAACCTGCACAGCCGTGGGAGGAGGTCTGGAGCCTGCGTCCAGCCACAGGAAAGGTGGGAGGAGAGTTGAGAACTGGAGAGCCTGCTCTTGCCGACCAGTCCCAGAGCTCTCTGCTGCCCTGTTCCCAGGCCCGCTCTCCTGCTGGCAGCCCTGCTGGCAGGGAGCAGTCTCAGGGGCCTCATTAAGCCCAGGGTATAAAAACAATCCCAGGCTCCCACGGAGAGAGGGCTGGAGTGTGCAAGGACTGGAGGGCTACGTTCATTCTTCAGCAAACATTCATTGTGCGCCTAATATATGCCAAGCTAGGCCCTGGGATCTAAAGATGAATGAGGTACAGACATGACCTCAAGGGCTCTCCAGGCTAATGGAGGAATGAAATCCACAAATAACATCTATGAGAAGCATGATAAACGTGAAGATAGAAGGGGCAGTAAACCAGCCTGGTGGGTGTGTAGGGGGCGAAGTATGAAGACATCAGAGAGGGTTTCCTGGAGAAGGTCAATCCTGCATTCATTACAGGGTGCATGTGGAATCTCAGGTTTGTTTTTGTTTGTTTGTTTGTTTTGGTTTTAATGAAGAGAAATTTATTTCCTCACAGTCAAAGTAGGCTAAAAGTCCAAATTCAGGGCATCAGCTCCAGGGGAAGGCTTTTTCTCTCTGTCGGCCTTCTTCTCTTCAGTGTTCCCTGGACTAGGAGCTTCTCAGCGCAGGGACCCCAGTCCAAAGGACGCGCTTTGCTCCTGGCACTGCTTTCTTGATGGTATGAGGTCCCTCTGTCTCTCTGCTCACCTCTGTCTTTTATATCTCAAGAGATTGCCTCAGGACACAACCCAGTCTAGCAGATCAGGTCCTGCCTTACTAACACAACTGCCACCCATCCTCCCTCATTAACATCATAGAGGCAGGTTTACAACATACAGGAAAATCACACAGTACCAGAAATCATGGCCTAGCCAAATTGATACACACATTTTTGGGGGGCCATAATTCAAACCATGACATTCCACCCTTTGGCCCCCCCAAAATCACATCCTTGCAACATGGAAAACATATTCATCTCATCGTATCATAGCAGAAGTCTTAACTCCAAGTCCAAAATCCAAAAATTCCTCTTCATCTGTGAAATCTAGAATACAATTAATCTGTTTCCAAAGGTACAGTGGCAGAACAGGCATAAGCTAGACATTTCCATTACAAATCGGAGAAATTGCAGGGAAAGAAGTGATAACAGGCACCAAGCAAGTCAGCAGAACACATTACATTAGCCCTCAAGGCTTTGAAAATAATCCTCTGTTCTCTGAGACAATTTACACAATGGCCCTGCCCTCCAGACTCTAGGTATTGGCCACAGCCTCTGGATCCTGAGTGGAGGCCCCTCGGCCCTGGGCTTCAGCTCTGCCTTCCAGGCCCACTGGGGCAGCAACTCTGCTCCCTTGGCTTTAGGTGCACCATTCTCCTAGTCCATCGGAGTGACAACTCCACTCTTAGAAACACCAGAGGCCATGGCTCCACCCTTTGAAACCCCTGAGGTCATGGCCATACCTTTTGAGGCTGAAGCAGCTCGGCTTCTTGCGTCCCTTGTCTCTTCAGCTTCTGCTTCCTATGGCCTCTCGGCCCTTGGGCTTCACGCCCGCATGTGCCCTGCTGGGGCAAGTGTTCCAAAGCTCTGTAGCTCCACCGGTAAGGGCCTGGAGGCACCCCACTCCGCCAGGAAGCCTCCTGCGCACAGGAACTCAGCTGTCTTGCTCCGTGGGTCGGCTCCAGCACCGTTTCGCCCTGGTTTCCTGGTTCTGCTACTACTGGTGCTCTGCTGCTACCACTCCTCTATCCATTCACAGTTTCAAAACCACTTCCACATTTTAGGTATCTGTTAGAGAAGCATCCCACTCTCGGTACCAAATTCTGTCTTAGTCATCTAGTGCTGCTACAACAGCAATACCACGAGTGGTATTTTTTCTTTTCTTTTTTGTGCTTTAGATGAAGGTTTACAGAGCAAATTAGTTTCTTATTAAACAATTAATACACATATTGTTTTGTGACATTGGTTGCCAACCCTGCGACTTATCAACACTCTCCCCTTCTCGGACCTTGGTGTCCCCATTTCCATTCATGCAGCTTTCCTGTCCCCTCCCTTCTCGCCCTTGTCCCTGGGCTGGTGTGCCCATTTAGTTTCATTTTGTTTTACGGGCCTGTCTAATCTTTGGCTGAACAGTGAACCTTAGGAGTGACTTCAGTACTGAGTTAAAGGGGTGTCTGGGGGCCATACTCTTGGGTTTTCTCCAGTCTCTGTCAGGCCAGTAAATCTAATCTTTTTTTTGTGAGTTAGAATTTTGTTCTACGTTTTTCTCCAGCTTTGTCCAGAGCCCTCTATTGTGATCCCTGTCAGAGCAGTTGGTGGTGGTAGCCAGGCACCAACTAGTTGTGCTGGACTCAGTCTAGTGGAGGCTGTGGTAGTTGTGGTCCATTAGTCCTGTGGACTAATATTTCCCTTGTGTCTTTGGTTTTCTTCATTCTCCCTAGTAGCAAGGGTTTTAGGTAACCGATTCTGGATGCTTCCAGCAGGTGAGCTTGACAGGCAATAGTACAGGGAGAACACAGAGACCACTTAGGAAGCTGTGGTCTGGGAAAGCTGTGCTGAGGCCCGAATAAGGGCGGTAATGGAAAGGAGGGATGGACTGTACAAACACAGGAGGCAAAATGGTGGAATTTAGAAGTGACTGGACAGGGTGGGGGCGTCTAGGGGTGACAGAGAGCTCAAGGATGACTCCCAGCATCTGAGTTTTGAAGAATTTGACTTCTTTTCATGAAACTATCAACCCTGGAATCTGCAGTCCATTGAAGGAGGAGGTCAGAGAGGGAAAAACAGAACTCCTAGTCAAAAATGTATGTTGTAGATTTGCGACAAAATTTCCCCCAAACATAATACTAGTTCCTGAAATGTCCCTTTAGCCAATGGGTCAGTCTAACATGGACTGTTCTCCTCATTTCTTCGTTGTTAAGCAATCCACTGAAGTCCCAGAAAAACAATATCATTTAATATGGGGGTTCACTTGGCTTTAATTATCTGCCAGCTGGGTCCCTTGGGTAAGGTCCTTCCCCTCTTTGTATCTTTGCAGCCTCCTGTCCCTTTCTTACTCCTGCGAGACTCAGGAATGGGGTGGGGTTGGGAAGAGCATCCCGGAAAACATACGGTGGGGAATTGAACAACCTGGATACTCCGGTTTAGACTTGCCTTTCGCTTTGTTTTGTGCCGGAGTCAGCAGCCGCACAGCGTGATCCAAAGACGCTTGATGGAGGGGAACCAGAGTAGGCTTCAGGGGGAGTCTCCCCTGGTGCAGGCCCTGATTCAAGACCAGGAGAGCAGCAGGCAGACCAGTAGGACAGAGATTCCAGTTCTTCTTGTCAACTGCAAGGTGAGAGGCCTTCCTGGGCTCCGACTTTCATTACCAACCCTGTCTGTGATGGCTCACTTCACCCATGCTCCTCTCTCCCTCTAGTGGTATGGGAGGAAGAAAGAACCTCTCCCCTTAGCCTGAACCTAAAAATGGGGTCTTCTGTCTTCTTTGGAAACCCTGGGTGGTGCAAACAGTTAACACACTCGGTTGCTAACAGAAAGGTTGGAGGTTTGAGCCCACCCAGAGTTGCCTCAGAAGAAAGTCCTGGCAATCTACTTCCAAAGATCAGCCATTGAAAACCCAATGGAGTGCAGTTCTACTTTGACACACGTGGGGATCACCATGAGCCAGAATCAACTCAAAGGCAAATGGTTTAGGAGTCCCTGGGTAGCACAAGTGGTTGAGCGCTTGGCTACTAAAGGTTGGTGGTTCAAATCCATCCAGAGGTGTCTCAGAAGAAGGGCCTGGCAATCTACTTAAAACAGATCAGCTGCTGAAAACTTTATGGAGTGCAGTTCTACTCTGAAACACATGGGATCACCATGAGTTGCAATCAACTTGACGGTTTTTATCTTCTTTACTGTCTCAACCCATCTTCCCTCTGTACAACTCCATCTGTCACCATTACTCTATCTCCTTTCCTCTATCAAAGTATAATATTTAAATGTGAACATGAAAAGACTTCAGTATGCTCTACATATATGGATGGTGTGTGCATGTATGCTAATGTAATTCTCCTGGAAAGTGCTCATGTGTTCCAAGGTGATGGTCTTGTCATTTCTGAAGCCATCTAACCACTCAGCCACCATTGAACTGTTCTCAATAAATGGCCACTGCTCTTCTGCTACTCTCTTTGCTCAGTGTTTCCTCTGCCTGGAGAGCACTCTTCGTGCTCTACAATCATTGTATGCCCACATCCTACAATCTTTTAAGGCCCAGCTTAGATGGTACCTCCTCCTTGAAACCTTTTCTAATTTCCCCAGTAGGAAATAGCCTTTCCTCCCTCTCAATCTCTATAGCACTTTACTCACAACCCTCTCATAGACCTTAAAACTTTCTATCATATTATTATTGTTGCTAGGGGCTGTTGGGTCGATTTCGATTCATAGCAATCGTATAGGACAGAGTAGAATTGCCCATAGGGATTCCTAGGCTGTAATCTTTACTGGAGCAGATCACCAGGTCTCCTCTCCCGTGGAGCCACTGGTGGGTTTGAACACATGATCTTTCAGTTAGCAGCTGAGCGCTTAACTGTTGCACCATCAGGGATCCTCCTTTTACTATATAATAGTCTAAAGGACAGGATTCATTGATGCACCTTCCAATAACTTATCTTGTGCATAGGAGATGATTTCAATATATGCATGTAAGACTACATATACTTGTCTATATCCTAAGGCACACCAAAATGTCCAAAAGAAAGTGAACTTGTCTTCCTTCCTTTCTAATGGTGAACCTTTTGGTTACCCACATCTGAATTTCCTAACAAGGGATTCGAGTCTTCTTGTCCCTCCTCCATTCCTAACCTGGTGTCTGCTACCCTTCAACCTCCCAAGAATTCCTGTAAACAAACAGCCCTCCATGTTTAGCCAATCTTTCTTAAACTTATGGACACGCCATGTGTTGCTCTACTTCTTTTGATTCTTCTGAGAGTCAATTTTGCCTCAACTGTATGAGTTCCATAAACATTACCTGTAAAGACTCAGGCCATTCCCTCCACTCCTTTATTTTTTTATGTATGTACGTCCATTTTTCAATTGGGTTGTTAGTCTTCTTATAATTGAGTTGAGCCTCATCGGATTAAAAAAAAAAATTTTTTTAATTGAATTTGGGGAAAAAATCCTTAAATTTTTTTCTTAATGCAACAATGACTTTCATTTTAATATTTTCCCTGCTACACCTCCCAAGGATCATTTCCTTGCATGTTTTTGCATGTTTGCAGTACTCCTTTATCCAAACTTGCAAAAAGTTGTAAAAGACAATGTCATTGATTAAAACACTCTCTCTTCTACTTCTGACATTCTTGTTGTTGTTAGGTGCCATTGAGTCAGTTCTGACTCATAGCAACTCTGTGTACAACAGAATGAAACACTGCCCGGTCCTGCGCCATCCTCACAATTGTTGCTATGCTTGAGCCCATCGTTGCAGCCAATGTGTCAATCCACCTTGTTGAGGGTCTACTTCGTTGGCAATGCATAGTTGTTTGGACTTTCCCCATTCCTCCTTGCTCAAACAGGAAAGCTTCATGCCACATATCCCATTTGATTTTGTAGTAGAAACAGTACACTCATTCTATCAGAAAATCTGGGTAAAAGACTATTGAACAGTGAGGAATACGCTCCCTGGTCCATGACAGTTGGGCTCTCCATTTCAATAACATGAGCCTTGCGCAGGACTTTGGAGGCTTATCAATCAAAAGTGAGTGATTATAATTAACCTTCTTCTCCTTGGTGCCTAATTCATTCTCAGTTATTAAGTGTTTTGGAATCATAAAAGGGCTGGGGAAATTGAAGGCGCCAACCCCCATCCATTTTCCTGGGACTCACCGAGTCCTCCACAACCCCTCCCTTTCTCAGTGCCGGGACCAGCTGCTGACAGTGGCCGTGGACACAGGCACACAATACAATCAGATCTCCGCTGGATGCCTCAGCCGCCTGGGGTAAGAGCGTGGCTCAAGAGTGAGGAGGTGGGGAGGGTACAGGGTTTCTTTTTTGGGTGATGAAAATGTTTTGAAATTAGATAGTTGGGATAGTTGCACAACTCTGCGAATATATAAAAAACCACTGAATTGTGCACTTTAAACGGGTATATTTTATGGTTTATGAATTAGACCTCAATAATGCTGTTATTAAAAAAAAAAAAATGAGACAGGAAGTTCTGGTGGAGAAGACATGGGGGCCAGGCAGTGGATGAGAACCTACAGCATGGTGGGGAGGGACATCTGCTGATTAATGGGGGCGGGGGGTGGGCTTGTGGTGGTCATAACCCTTATTTCCTAACCACAGATTAGAGAAGCGGATCCTTAAAGCCCCAGGTGGTGGCCTGGCACCTGGGCCCCCAACCCAGGTAGAGCAGCTGGAGCTACAGCTAGGGCAGGAGACTGTGGCCTGCTCGGCCCGGGTGGTGGGTAAGTCCTCCCTTTATCAACACCCCAGCTTCCCACCTGTTCTGTCTTTTCCACACGGGGGCAAAGGCAGAGACAGGGCCTTTGAGCCCCTACCAGCCCCAGACAAGGTGTTCCCATGGAGTCTCTGATTATCCCCAATCTCCTGCCAATATTCTCAGACCTGTGGGATGGAGCGGGGGGAGAAGGTGTGAGTGCTGAGAGGGCAGCAGGGGCCACTGGGCACCCTCCAGTCTCTTCTGTTTTCAAACGGTTCCCGCAGATGTGGAGAGCCCTGAATTCTGCCTTGGACTGCAGACTCTGCTTTCTCTCAAGGTAAGCAGGATGCTAGCACTTGCACCCACGCTTGGGGCCTGACTCAAAGTGCTGAGAAAAGAGGTAGAAGGCCCAGGTGTGGAAGCATGGGGCAGGTTCTGATAAGAAAGACTAAATCTGGGAGGCAGGAGTCCTAGTTTCCAATTTGCTTCCTTGTTGTTGTGTGCCGTCGAGTCAATTCTGACTCATAGTGATCCTATAGGACAGAGTAGAACTGCCCCATAGGGTTTCCAAGGCTGTAATCTTTACGGAAGTAGACTGCCACATCTTCCTCCTGCAGAGCAGCTAGTGGTTTAGAAATGCTGACCTTTCAGTTAGTAGCCAAACGCTTTACCACTGTGCTACCAGGGCTCCTTCCTTACAGGTTACTTATTTGCCTACAGGTGAAAATACAGACCTGGGTTCCTCCCTGGACCAGGGTCCAGGTGAATGCGAACAGGGGTGGGGGGCTGGAGAGGAGGAAGGGAGAGCACAGAGCAGGCGGAAGCTCTGGGAAGTGTGAGAAGAACAAAAAGGAGTGGGCCGGGAGAGAGGCTGCCTGCTGAGGCCTTCTCTCACACTGTCCTCCCCCCACAGAGCTGCATCGACCTGGAGCGTGGAGTGCTGCGGCTGAAAGCCCCGTTCCCAGAGCTGCCCTTCCTGCCTTTGAACGAAGACCCTGGCCAGTGACCACTGTCCCAGTCAGTCCCCAGTGGGAAATCCCTTGCCTTAGGGAAAGAGCTGTGTGAGGAATGAGGCATTACTAGAGCCAGGTAGCTGGGGACTAACTACTGTGTCTGTCCCTTTTATTACACTGACCCTCACTGTCCTATTTCCTCCATTTGGCCACATCCCTCTCTGCTTCTACAGCAACTGTCCTCTTCCCCCAGGACGAGTTTTCACTACAGATGGCTCGTGATCCCACGGTTCTGGTTGCCCTGTCCTTCCTCAAGAAGAGCAAAGCCAAATCAGGACTGCAGAAAGGGATATAGGCAAAATGGGGCCCCAGGCTGGGTCGTTGGTATGATAGGAACTGTTCTGAGTCAAAGACTGCAGCCAACTGCTGTCCTCCACCTGTCCTTCAACCCTACTCCAAACAGCACTCGACTGCCCTCACTTCCACGTCTCTCACCTCACCTTCACTATCTCCCACAATGAGACTGCCACACTTCCCCATCCTGGATTTCTGATCCTTCTGGTGCCTACCTTTCGGATTCTGCACACATTTGCTCACAGGTGAATGGGGGAAGAAGTGGTAAACAGACATTCCAATGCAATACAGAAGGTGAGTTGGTAAAAGAGTATTTAGCTCACAAGGCTGGGACTCTTTTATTAGCTACATTTTCTGGGGTTGCAAATGTCTGCAAAGCCGACTGCTGTTTGATTACTGTGTGCAAAACCTTAGTTATACTTCTAATATTTACTCCAGATATTGACCATTTTCCACTTGCTTTTTGTATTCACCAGGGTCTGTGTGGAAGACCCCTTTAGAGAACCACGCCTAGAAGGTAGACAGGTTGGTAGACTTGTTAGTATTCAGGCAGAACCTTGCCAGTCAGTATTCTTTTTATTTCTAGAGGTATCTACCTCATTAGGTCTTCTTATCCCTCATTCCTGGTCCCCTGAACTTAAGCTTGTCCTGTCCTGGAATCGGTGGCCTCCTATCCCTCTGCCAAGCTCTGAGCCAAAGTAAAAGCGCAAGGAGGCTCTTTTGACTTCACTGTGAAGAAAGGGATCTGAACCTCAAGAAGCCAGACCCTTGAGTGTCTTCCTAGTTGGTATGAGTCACTCAAGTCATGGATTAGGGATAGAGGAAGATAGCAGTGTAGCTAACCTCAACTCTGGGCCAGGAACTGGGAATCTTGGGCTGGAAACAAAATCTTGAACTTGGGGTACATTAGAGGAGGACCAGGAGGCTGCTGTGACACCTTCCCTTTCTTTCCTTCCTTACCTTTCTCAGCTAACTCCCCTGCCCTGAAAAGGAAAGGACAGGAGCTCACCTATTACAGGTATACTACTACCCTGGTCTCAAAATCTTAAAGGATTCCCTCTCCCTCACTGCCTTGCTCCATGACTTCTGCTTTCCTGGATCTCGCCTTCTTTCTTTTCCTGTGTGCCTCTTGCTGCTTCTGTAACCACAATACCCCAGGTCCAATGGCAGAACCTCAGCTCAGCTGCTTCTCCACTTGAATAAATGCTTGTTTCTCCATGCTGATGTCCTTCTTTGGTCTTATATCCTGCCTACCCGGAGCTGAATGATAACTCTCCCTCTATTCCCTTACAGACAGGAAATATGAATGTGAATCCTTCCCTTGGTTGCCCCATCTGACTAGGGTTAGTATAATTTACAGCAATGACTTTCAAACCCTTTTGACCATAACTCACAGTAGGAAATACATTTTACACTGTACTTACTACACACGTACACAGTTACACATACACACACACAATTATAACAAAACAATACGTACCTACATTGTGAACAAGGCACTCTGGTATTTCCTATTCTATTTTATTTTATTCTATTGCATTTACTTAAAAAATGCTGGCCACAACCACTAAAGGATTGCAACATATAATTTGAAAAACACTGATTTAGAGCAGACAGAATCAAGAACAGAAGGGACATAAATGATTCAAGACAGAATTCTGATTGTGGTCTGGATCATAAACTTGCATCAGATTTTTAAATGACTATTGTATCATAGACAGGAGCCCTGGCAGTGCAGTGGTTAAGTGCTTGGCTGCTAACTGAAAGGTCAGCAGTTGGAACCCATCAGCTGCTCTGCAGGAGAAAGATGTGGCAGTCTGCTTCCATAAAGATTTACAGCCTTGGAAACTCTTTGGGAGAGTTCTACCCTGTCCTATAGGGTCGCTATGAGTCGGAATCGACTCGATGGCAATGGGTTTGGTTTGGTATTACAGACAATAAGGTGGTTTTTTGGGAGAGTGGCTGGTTGGGGAAATGGGAGCAAGGCCTATGTAGCTCCACAGTGTTTGATGAATATGGCAAAACGAGAAAGCACTGACCCAGTTTCTTTTGATAAACTGAGGAAAATCATCTCAAGGCTGCTAGGAAAAGAAGAACCAGACTGTAAAATGTCCTGAACAATCCCTCAAAAAACAAAACAAAAGTGGCTAAAGAATATTTGCCATTCTTGTGATCATTATGAACGCCAGTGACATGGAGTTGTGCCATGAAAGACGGAGCTTGGGATGAGGTGCAGCTCTTCCTTCTACTGTTCCTCTGGCCCTGAAGTCTGGTTTCCTTACGGGTGTTGGGCCCATGCAAAAGATTTGATCTCCCTCCTCACAAGCAAGTCTCTGTTCTTTACACAATGAGTGTGGGGATCTAGGGGTAGAGGGTGGTCCTGATTTGGAACAAGGCAGGGTCCTATGACCCTGCTGTATGATTGGTGCAATGCACGAGAAACTGGGCAGAGGGCGAACTCGTCTCCTTTCACCAAAAAGACTGTGAGGTCTATAGTCACAGTCACCCTAGGGTTGCCACTATCCTTCCATGCCCAGAGTCAAATCCCACTCCTCTGTAATATATATTCCCTATCCTGCCAGTACCATGGATACCCTGAGGGGGAGGGGGCTCAGAAGAATCCTTCATCAGCTAAGGATCAGGCAAGCCCAGCTAGGTGGGATCCTGGAGGCTGGAGGGAGCACACTGCTGTGGCTGGTCGGGATGGTACAGGGTTTGGTGAAGCAGGGCGCAGGCGGCAGGGAGGTCGTCGGGATCTAAGGGCAAAAAAAGGGGCTGGTAAGAGGCTGCAGGTTTCCTGGGCACCTGGGCCACTGGACTTCTCCAGCCCCTACAGCTTCCCTGGTACTCACCCATGCCCAGCTCCTGCAGCAGACCCCGGTACTCTGGCTCAGTCTCCAGCAGTTTCAGCAGATTGGTGGACTCCATCCGCTCCAACTGCACCTCCCAGTACACATAGATCTTCTGGTTGAACGTGACGTACACGAGGCAGGGGCTATTACGGCCCTCTTTGCAGGCATATAGGCCTGGGAGGTGTGGGTGGTAGACAAGAAGTTTCAGTCCCAATGACAGGATGGCAGAGAACAAGATACAGGCATTAGAGTCAGCAGTTTTTACCCCCACACAATGTCAGGCAAAAAATAAAAGCCCTCTTTCTATTTCTTCCCTGCTGGGAACTCAGTAAAACAGGTGAAACAGTCTGCTATATCTGCTTATCCAGATATGAAAAAAACCCACAGCAACAACAACCAGGCACAGCAGCATCCAAACTGGTGATTTTATTGCTTTTTCCATCTAGTAACATCCCTGGGGAGTCCCTGCTAGCCAAAAGTTCTACGCAGAGGTACCTCAGAAGAAAGGCCTGGTGATCTACTTTTGAAAAACCAACCACTCAAAATCTTACGGCACATGGCTCTAGTCTGACGTGCACGGGGTCGCTGTGAGTCACAGTTGAGTCAACAGCAACTGATTTTTTAATATATCTGGAATAAATGACGGGCAGTCTTGCTAGTCCAAGGGGTAGATTAGCAAAAGGTGATCAGAAACTAAGGCTTCTCTTAGGTGTCAATCCCTTCTTCAAAGGCATATTAACCTTTCAGGTCAGTAGAGGATGTGCTCCACAGTACTGTTCAATGTCCTATCATTTTAGTACTTGAAGATATCCCCTAGTCACCCACGAGCGTTAATGCTGCTTCCAAAACCAAAAAAACCAAACCCATTGCTGTCAAGTCGATTTTGACTGATAGCGACCCTATAGGACAGAGTAGAACTGCCCATAGGGTTTCCAAGGAGTGGCTGCCGGCTGAGCCACCAGGGCTCCTGCTGCTTCCCAAGGTCCCCAGTTTGGAACTAATAAGAATGTTCTGGGAAAATTTCCTGTAAAGAGTTCTGAAATGTTCAGACTGGAAAGAACTTTCTGATGTCTTCAACACATCCCAGAGATGAGAACTTATGCCAGTCTTAAAAATATTTAGAGATGGAGATCACATTGTCTTTTACTTCTGATTTTAAACTCTAAAGATGGCAATTTTGTACCCACTCATCACCCTCTAATGGAAGATGCTCTGGGAAAATTTCCTTTACAGAGTTCTGAAATGTTCAGACTGGAAAGAACTTTCTGATGTCTGCAACACATCCCAGAGATGAGAACTTATGCCAGTCTTAAAAATATTTAGAGATGGAGATTTCATTGTCTTTTACTTCTTATTTTAAACTCTAAAGATGGCAATTTCGTACCCACCCATCACCCTCTAATGGAAGAACCAAGAGCTAAGGAACTAATGTGTTTATGAAGACTTGAGCTAGGGGTCATTTTGAGAGTGGAAATGGAAGACAAACAAGTGTGGTTGAGAGAAGCCACGGGGCGGGGTTCCCACCTGCACAGAAGGCTCGGATATTTTCATCCACTTGGAAGCGGACCACGGTGCGGTTATGATCAATAATATACGTCTGACCATCCCAGGCACATGCAACTACCTCCTCATGTCCATTGCCCTGAAAAAGGCCAGAGATAGGGATGCCAAGTGATAAGGAGCTGTTTTACAAAGGGATTCAATGATGGGGCCGGATGAAACACAAAGGGCCGCAGACTGGGCTCTAAGAGGCAAACAGTGAGCTGGGAAACAAAACAACCATTCACTGAATGTCTCCTATGTGCCAGGCACCAGGTGGGGCTGCCAAATGAGCCACCTTACATAATGGTCACAACAACCCTACAAAGCAGGCAACACTATTCCCAACTTTATACTCAGGAAACTGCAGCTTATAGAAACAGTCACCTCCCCAAGGTCATTCAGCTCGGAAGTAGCAGAATCAGGACTCAAACCCATGTCTGTTTCACCTGACTTCAAAGCTGAAGACTCTTCTCCTAAGCCATCAAGTAGGCACAAAGGCACTATAAACTATAACCCCTCTTGTGCCAATTCCAGGACCAAAGTCCTGTTAAAGAAAGACTCACATACGGAAAAGAAAAAACCTATAAAATATACATCTGAAATTGGTGCTAATAACTCGCTTATAGTAATCTGTTTCTCTTTGGGGCTATTACTTCCACTGAAAGGTACTGAAATGATACATTGTCCATCTGTATAATGTTATTGGGTGCCATCGAGTCACTTCCAACTCACAGTGACCCCATGTGACAGAGTAGAACTGCCACATATAGTTTTCTTAGCTGTAATCTTTACAGAAGCAGATCGATCACTAGGTCATTCTCCCACTGAGCCACTGGGCAGGTTCAAACTGCCAACCTTTTGGTTAGCGGCTGAGCACTGAACCATTGTGCCACCAGGGCTCCTTATCAGTGTAGTATAGTATTAAGCAATGTGAAGTAAGGGGAAACAAACTCACTCCAGACTGATTTGTTGTCATTCTTAGGTGCCATCAAGTCAATTCCAACTCGTAGCAACCCTATGTACAACAGAATGGAACACTGCCTGGTCTTGTACCATCCTCACAATCATTGTTATGTTTGAGCCCACTGTTGCAGCCACTGTGTCAGTCCACCTCATTGAGGGTCTTCCCCTGTTTTGATGACCCTCTACTTTACCAAGCATGGTATCCTTCTCCAGACACTTGTCCCTCCTGATAACATGTCCAAAGTATGTGAGACGAAGTCTTGCCATCCTTGCTTCTAAGCAGCATTCTGGCTGTACTTCTTCCAAAACAGATTTGTTCGTTCTTCTGGCAGTCCATGGTGTATTCAGCATTCTTCACCAACACCATAATTCAAAGGCGTCAATTCCCCTTCAGTCTTCCTTATTCATTGTCCAACTTTCACATGCATATGAGGCAACTGAAAACACTATGGCTTGGGTAAGGCGCACCTTAGTCCTCAAAGTGACATCTTTGCTTTTTAACACTTTAAAGAGGTCTTTTGCAGCAAATTTGCCAAATGCGATGTCGTTTTTTTTTTTTTTTTT